ATATAAGAAACTCATGATATACACATATCCTATTTGAACATTTTACCCAAATTTCTATGTACAGCTGCTGCATGCAGAACTGTTTTGCCCATTTTAAGCTCGCAATCATGCCTTGATCATAAAATAAGAAACAAACTAGACTCAAATATCTAACTAAGAAAATTGGCCTCACCTCATTTGGATTTTTTTTTTACGATTTTCTACATATTTTCAAAGTCTGCACACTTTCAAAGCATTCAAAAGTCGAAATTCTCATTTTCATACATTTTTCTCAAACCATTTCGATTCCAAACCATTCCAACTTCTGAATCTCAACTTAATATAACATATTTGACATAAACAACCAAAATCCAACCTTTATTTTATTATTTACATTATCTCCCAAATCATTGACTTAATCAAGTCAAAGTTCATATGATGAACTTGCATAAATCTCAATAATCTCTTGAATCTAATGACCATTTCATGTCAAAAACACTAAAATGAACTCATTTTATACACTTAAGATCAGACCCATATGAAACCCTAACTTTATCTCAACATGCAATCCATAAAACAAATATATCAACCAAGAACAAGTGCAAAGAATGAATTATGCCTTACTCGATGATCAAATCCTTCAAAGATCTTGTAGTTCTTCTTTGATTTDAGTTGAATCAAGCCTATGTGTGTGAAAATCGCACCTCTAGTGTGTGTGTGAGTTCTGGACTTAGATGATATGAAAAATGGGTCAAAATTCCAATTTATAATGCTAAAACTCGAGTTGGGCCGGGTTGGCCCGGCTAGGAACCCATTTTGACCATCAACACTTTAATTATTCATAACTTTTCGCTCGAACCTCCGTTTTCTATGAGGTTTTCGCCTACACGATCATAAAGAGATAATCTATAACATCCRACAAAAATATTYCAGAAAATATCTCCCAAGAAAATCAGTTTTACGTATCCATTTGACATGATATTTTCCAAATCCTCTAATATATTCTTAAGAAATAAAATTCTAAAGCTTCAAACTTAAACTCTCACTAAATCATAAGCTCTCTTTAACCCAATAATTAAATATACTAAGCAAATAATTGGACATATTAGAAATTGGATGTTACATTGATCGGGTTGAAGACATTTGAATAACTCAATCTAATATTTGCAGTTTGAAAATCTTAACCCAACTCAACCCAAACCAAAGTGCAACCCAACTTAATCCAAACTGTACGGGTTGCTCGGGTTGATACTTTGGTACATTAAAATATCTTTTAACCTTGAATATGTTATTTTTCTATTCATAATTTTTTTTATCATCAATCATTTGATACAACTTATCTATATTTCTTATGTATATCACACTCAGTTAATTTTCTATTTTTTACATATATATGTTCACATATACGAATGAGTTATATAGAGATGTATATGAAAAATGTACGTGATAGTGTAATTGTCTAATGTATATATTAATAGAAATTCAACAATCATATTAAATTCAATAAATAAAAGGATATCAGGTTCATTGGGTTCAAATAACAGTAACTCAATATCAACCCAATACATATGGTTTGAAAATTTTACAACTCGATTAAACATCGGGTTGCATTAACTTGAGTTTTTTCGCGTTGGGTTGGATTGAGTTTTTGAATACCCCACTTTATATGCTATTTAGTCCCTCGTTTGGACTAACCATTACAAATAAGCCCAAAATTTGAGGTGCTACAAACTCGAATAGATGATGATGAAATACAATTAACGGGGTGTTTGGTTCAGTCAGAGAAATGAAAATGACAGAGAATAAAAATGGGAATGAATTTTCATTCCTCCCCGTCTAACCTGAAATCAAAATTTGGGTTTATAAAAAAATGCATCAATTATATTATATAAAACCAAACAGTTTCTTTTATTTTCATTCCTAATACCTCTAACCAAACACCCTCATAATTATATTTCATAACTTTAATTTTCTTTTGGATAACATGACAAAATAAAGGGTGGAACAAGTTGATATAAGTTGGGCTCAAAAACATGAAAAAAGTTGACTTTATTTCGATTGGTCATCACTCATCACTCTTTTATTTGTTTTATTAAATTTATATATAATTAATATATCAAATATGATTATAATATTACATCATCAAAATAATGATCTTGGTATTAGAAAAAACAATTTAAGAGGTACTCATCATTTAATTAAAGTGGTACTTATACATTATAGCGAGATACATCTTGATTTTAATGTTTTTATTTTTTTTGTCTCAGTCTATGTTATAATAAAGTTTTATATGGTTTTGAAAAAATAATAATATTTTTAAGTTTTGAATAAAATATAAATATAAAAAATATAAAAAAATGCAAAAAAAATAATATTAATATTAGTACTAAACTAACTATTTAAATTTCTCATTTTTTTTGTATTTCTTTAATTTATTTTTTTATTTTTGGTTTAATAATATAGTTTTTTATAAATATAATAATTAATAATTTGGTTTGAACTCAATGATTATCCTAATTATATTTTAGATTTGTATGTTTAAAATAAGATATTTATTCTTCATTTGATTATGTTTATCTATATTTAGTTATACGAATTTAAACATGAAAAAACTTTAATAAGTTGTACTTATGCACAATTTACTTATAGTATTGAATTTTAAGTAATATGCATCAATAAACATTACTTTATGCATAAACAATGGTTTTTAAGAGTTTTTATCAAATGCTTTATAATATAGTATAGATACTATATTATAAAATATCTATATTTGTTTTAGCAACTCTTAATTTTCTTTTAAAATTACAGTTTATAAAATATTAAGTGTAAATTATTAATGCAGGAAAATCTCATAACTTCTTAGGTATTCCTATTTTAATCCTTTTTAAAATTCAATAACACATTTTTTTTATTAACCTGGATATCCAACCCGCTATGCGGGCCGACTAATCTCAGGGCGACCACCTGCTTTGCAGGTAGTACGGAGACACCGCATTTGAACCTCCGTGGCCATAAGGAGATTATTGTTCATTCTTTGATTTGAACCTGGGATCTCCATGCACTTTTGATCTTTAGAGTCAAACTCAAATCAATCAGACACCATCCTTGTGATTAATAACACAGTTTTTAAAAATATCTACTGCCATTCTCAGATACACCATCAATCAACTAAATAAACAACAAGATATTTGAAATTGTTAAAAATCCTATATAATAAATAATCCATTTCTAAAAGATTAAAAATAACTTTGAAACGATTCAAATTCGTTTTACAGATATTTTTTTACATTTTTCTGTATCGCACATTCAGCTTTCCAGTTTATGATTAAACGTCTATAATGCTCTTTAAAAATCATAACATATTTGAAACGTTACTTTATATTGGTGTTGTGCTATTACCCCCACTCGTATACCACACACATTCAAATTTCACATCCCATTTCCACTAACATACCACTCTATGATTAAAATTAACCCTTGATAACAATACAAATATATTTATCCATTCAAAATGTAAAGATAGACAGATACAAATCATAAGGATGGTGTCTGATTGGTTTGAACTTGGACTCCAAAGGTCAAAAGAGCTTGGAGGTTTCAAGTTCAAATCCAATGAGAAATAAAAATTACCGTATGGCCATGGAGGTTCAAATACGATGACTCTCGGCTACCCGTAAAGCAAGTGGTCGTACTGAGATTAATCGGCTCGCATAGCGGTTAGATATCCAGGTTCATAAAAAAAATAGACAAATACATATTTTATAATAAAAATAATGAAAAGTTATATGTTAATAATTTATATTTATTTTTAAAAATCAAATTTGTCGACCAATTTCTAACATATTTATCAAAATCTAATTATTTTGATCATAAAAAATCAAAATCTTTAGACATTCTTTTTGAAATGATTATTTGTTTAATGCAACTTAAAGTTATAATAACTAGTTTTTTAAGTTTTGGGTAACTTTATTTTAATTATAAATATATGTTTATTTATAGGTTAAATGACATTTACCAAACACTTATCCGGATAAGCATTAACAAGTCAAATTACCTTATCCGATGAATATGATTAATTTGACTATGACCAATAATCTTACGGCTAAGAGCGAAGACAATGACCCAAAGTCTTACCCCATAAGTGATGACGACGACTCCTACTACAGTTAGTGTTTACCGGGTAAATTGTTGCATATAATACCATTTCGGTGAACTAAAAATCTTACGCGGTAAGTAAGTAACAATGTTAAATAATGAGAGTCCATTTATTATGATCTGAATATATGTGAAAAATTATCATAGTTCATTCATTATGATTAACACTTTTGAATTTTATTTTTAGAGAAATTTTAGCATAGTTATTGGAGATGTTCTAACCCTCTAATTAAAGCTCTCTCTAATTACGGGGTTGTTTGTTTACCTCTTAATAGTTTCATTAAGAGACAATCTCTGAATTGTTAAGAGGTGAATCTTGTTTGCGTGTTTGATAAAAAAAAATCTACCTTTTAATGGTTCTAAAATTATCTGAATGATTTTGTATCATGAACATCCCTTAACCATCCAACCATCCTAATTTTATTATAAATAATTATCAAACAATTATATTTCATTTTGTACTGTATCATAAAAATCATTATTCACCAAACTATTTAACTAACTCTAAAAAAAAATCCTCCACAACTCTTAAAAATAAAAATGATGATAACTTCGAAACATTATCGAAATGCTGTCAAACGTCATTCATCAAATTGCATTCCATTTTACCCCAAAAATCATGCTTTCACACGCTTTTCACTTTTCCCCCTCAATTACCCAAACAGTAACAAACAACTGCTAGTCAAGCACCCCCCGCCCCCCCCATTATTAGTCGTCTTCCCCCCTTTCAGTTGTCGATTCAACCTTCAAAACCATGGCTTTTCTTTCTTTGACCCGATTGCCAACAATTGCCTCTCTCCCCATCCACTCATGTACGACAATTTCATCCTGTTCAAGATCTTGAAGCATCCCACTCTGTAAATTCCTCATTTCTTTCCCTCTTAATTGCTGTTTTTCTTCAATTTATGCGTAATTGGTTGTTGGTTTGCAGGAATTTTTTATTGTTAAGAGTCGATGATTTTGTTTTGTTTTCTTGGTTTGTCGTTAATTTTATTGGGGGTATTGTGAATTGTGATGTTTTGGGGTTTGATTTTTAAGTTTTTGTTTGATTAGGGTTTATGATCTTTCAGCTGGGTGATTGGCTTACTGATTGTTCTTGCAATTCGTTTAGGTATTGTGAAAAGGGTACTGAATAGCTTTTGAATTTGAGGTTTAGGTGATGAAGATCGATAACACTTGGTGACTTTGTTCTTGAATTAGGTCTTTGATTCTGTAAGCAAGTAATTGCGATAATGATCGATTTTCCAACGGAAGTTTCTAGAAAAATGGTTTTGTCAGCATTTATTTTGCATAATTTGTCTCAAAATTGCTAGTTCATAAAAAACATTGCAATTTCATATGTCACCGAATGTAATCCGGGTACTTAAATGTTTGAGATGTCACATTTGAGGTATCAAAATGCAGGTTTTGTAAGTATAGTGTAGACAAAATAGGAATCAGACCAAAGTACGTCGCATTTTCATGCGATACATATGTAAACTGTAAACTAAACCACAAGGGTGGTGCCTGATTGGTTTGAGCTTGGCTCCAAAAGTCAAAAGTGCTTGGAGGTCACAGGTTCAAATCCAAGAAGGAACAAAAATCCCATTGTGGCCATGGAGGTTCAAATGCGGTGACTCCGGGCCACCTGCAAAGCTTGTGGTCGCCCTGGGATTAGTCGGCTCGCATAGCGGGTTGGATATTCAGGTTAATAAAAAAAAAACCCAGTAAACTAGGTACTTAAATGTTTGAGATGTCACATGAGGTGTCAAAATGAAGGTTTTGTAAGTACATCGTACACAAAATAGGAATCGGACCAAAGTAGCGTTTCAATAATTTTGTCTCAAAATACCTCATTCTTAGAAACGACGTGTTTTCATGCATTACTAAATGCAAACTAAGTACTTAAATGTTTGAGATGTCACATCTGAGGTATCAAAATGAAGGTTTTGTACACAAAATAGGAATCGGACAAAGTACGTTACATTTTCATGCGTTACCTTATCTAAGTTAGGTACCTAAATGCTTGAGATGTCACAAATTGAGATATCAAAATGAAGGTTTTGTAACTAATGTCAAAATAGAATTCGAACAAAAGTACGTTGCATTTTGATGCTATTTGCCATTTGCGTTTGCATAATTTGTCTTAAAATCGCGAACCATCGTGTCATTTGGTTTTGGTTTGGTGCAGAATGATTAAGAGGCTCTCATGAAATAGTGCAAAATGAAATATAATTGTTTGGTAATTGTGTACAATGAAATTAGGGCTCTTAATGGTTAAAGGAGATCCATGATACAAAATCATTCAGAGGGTTTTAGAACCATTAAGAGGCCGAATTTTTTTTTTTTTTGTCAAACAAGATTCACCTCTTAATGATTCAGAGGTTGCCTCTTAAGGGAACTATTAAGAGGTAACAAACAAGCCCTCATGTTTGCAGGAAATTTAGTAGAAAGTCAAGTACTTTATCTTCATTGTTTCGGTTTTTGATTCAAACATCTGAACATATCTTGTTTCTTTTGCTTCTTTTCAGGTTTGTTTCTTCATAACCGAGGTTTCCTATACGTAAATCTGCAATATAATGGCTCGTATCTGGATGATAATGACACTGAATAGCCGAACGATTATTGGTTTGTGTCTCTTAATCGTACTTATATCCGTCAGTTGCAGCAATGCTGTTCAAAGTGATATTGATTGCTTGAGATCCATCAAAGCATCACTCGAAGATCCCGAAGACCTGTTATCTTCGTGGGATTTCAATAACGTTACCGAAGGGTTCATCTGTAGATTTACGGGTGTTGATTGTTGGCATCCCGATGAAAGCAAAGTTCTAAATATCCGCCTTTCGGATATGGGGTTGAAAGGCGGGATACCCGCTGGACTCAAGAACTGCACCTCGATGACGGGATTAGATCTGTCGAGTAACAATTTGAACGGGCCGCTCCCTTCTAACATGTCGAATGTTCTTCCTTTTCTAACGTCTCTTGATCTGTCATCCAACAACTTCTCCGGCGAGATCCCGGCGAGCATTGTAAATTGTTCGTTTCTTAACGTTCTTAGGCTCGAAAACAACCATTTTACGGGCCAGATTCCTCTGGAATTGGGCGGACTTAATCGAATTAAGGAGTTCAACGTTGCTAATAATGGATTATGGGGACAGGTTCCGACATTTATAAATTCTACTTTCACGCAAGAGAACTATGCTGGAAATCCTGGGTTATGTGGACGTCCGCTGGATCCTTGTGAAGCGGGATCGAAGAAAACCCACACGGGGGTGATCGTTGGGGCCGCAATTGGCGGTGCCACCATTGCTGCGTTGGTTGTAGGTGTTAGTATGGTGTTCCTTATGCGTAAGGTCGTTAGAAAGAAAGAAGAAGATCCAGATGGAAATAAATGGGCTAGAAGTATCAAAGGAGCGAAAACGATCAAGGCAAGATGATTCATATCTATTGGAGTTCCACATCAGCTAGACACAGACCATTAAACCTGTTTATCTGTAGGAACCTCGATTCTACTCTCTTTTAAAAAGAGATTCAAAGGGTTCCGTATATTTTAACATGGTATCAGAGCAGGTCTAGCACCACCTAGTTGGAGTTTCTAGGTGATGGTAGACCCCTATAAATGTGTCTATTTTAAAAAGAGAGTTAAAAGGGTTCCAAATATTATGTGAAAAGATACCTTAAGGTAAAAGTTTTTACGGTTATCATAATATATGGATTACGTTTCTGGACCCGACAAATTAGTCTATTTTTAAGCAAATTGTTCATTTTTGCATCAGATTTACTAACTTTTGATCGAATTGCAGCTATCGATGTTTGAAAATCCGGTTTCGAAGATGAGACTGAGTGATCTCATGAAGGCTACCAACAGCTTTAGCAAAGACAACATCATTGGATCAGGAAGAACAGGTTCGTTATACAAAGCAACGCTCGAAGATGGAAGTTCGCTCATGATCAAACGATTGCAAGACACTCAGCATTCGGAGAAGGAATTCGCGTCGGAAATGTCGACGCTCGGAAACGTGAAGCACCGAAACCTCGTTCCGCTTCTCGGGTTTTGTGTCACGAAACAGGAACGGCTTTTAGTTTACAGATACATGCCGAATGGGACTCTACATGATAAGTTGCATCTCATGGGTGATGATGGAAAACGGTTGGAATGGCGGTTACGGTTAAAAGTTGGGATTGGTGCTGCCAAAGGGTTTGCGTGGCTCCATCATAACTGCAACCCTCGGATCATCCATCGGAACATAAGCTCGAAATGCATCTTATTGGACGGAGACTTCGAGCCGAGAATCTCCGATTTTGGACTTGCGAGGCTTATGAACCCGGTCGACACTCATTTGAGCACTTTCGTGAATGGCGAGTTCGGCGATATTGGATACGTTGCACCCGAATACGCACGAACCCTCGTGGCCACCCCGAAAGGCGACGTTTATAGCTTCGGGGTGGTGCTTCTCGAGTTAGTAACCGGCGAGAAACCGACCCGTGTAGCTAAAGCTCCCGAAACCTTCAAGGGTAATTTGGTCGAATGGATTTCCATTCTTTCCACAGAATCAAAGCTTCAAGATTCGATCGACGAAGCGCTAGTTGGAAAGGGATACGATAACGAGGTATTTCAGGTCCTTAAAGTCGCGTGTAGCTGCGTGTTGCCCGCTCACAAGGAGCGGCCAACGATGTTCGAAGTGTACCAGCTTTTACGGGCAATCGGCCAACATTACCACTTCACTACCGATGACGAGATTTTGATGCCGACCAACTATGCCAATACGGATGACATAGAATTAATCGTTTCTCGCGATGTACGTGAACATCACTGATCGATAAGGTATGTATAAGCGATCGTGTAAGCTATATGTAATTATCTGTTCTTCGTCGTGCTTGAATAAATGTTATAGCGTATACGCATATATATATATATATCGGTGGAAGAACCATAAGTTTTCGGTTTTGTGTATGTAATAGAACTTCTAGAGAAATATGAATATGTATTTGAAGCAATGGGGTTTTCGGGACTACACCGAGCCTATCGAGGAAGGGGGACATTGTGCCCCCTCTAGAAGGCGCGGACAGCCCCTAAAAGGATATGATTGATGATGGTTCGGTAACGAGGGAGAGGTTCTTTTGAGAACCGTAACGATATTCACGATAAATATCATGAATAATGAAAATGCATGATATTTATGAATATTTAGATAGGGTTGGGTTCCAGTTAGGAGAGTTAAGAATAGATCTCCATCCTTGGATGCATATTAGGATCATAGGATGAGATGCACCAGATCAATCCTGTATCAAACGCGATTCGTGAGTGAGTTTGAGATTAAAAGTTATCAAATGTTCAGATCCCTTCTTACACTTCTCACATTAACTCTCTTTCTCACACGATCTTTCACCTTTGCTGTAAATAATTAGTTCTCACACTTTTCAAAAAATATTTACAGATTCATATGGAAATCCATATGAATAATTTCTAATACATGTTTATGTATACATCTTCAAATATATAAGTCGTCTTAAGGTATGCCTTGAAAAACGTCTTAATCTCGCCGTAACTTGTAAGACTTGAGGCTTGACCTCGTCATCACTCCAGATCTCGCCTCACGTCATTTAGAACATTGCTAGATATTAAAAATAACTATAATTTATAATTTCAATACACATTTTAAAAGAAATTATATATATATATAATAGGGTGATTCTATTTAGGCACCCGTTAATTTATTAGACTTCTTCATCGATTGATATCCAATGAATATGAGGAAAACCGAACCGATCCAATCATCCATTAGATGTTAGATTATGCTAATAGATCTAATCCGATTAACATTGGACAATTGATCCAATCCAATCAAAATGAATGATTGGATTGGTTCGATTTCATCCATTGGATATCCATCAGACCGGATTGTATCCCACCAATATTAACTAGATTGGATCCATTTGACATCCGGTGGATGATCCAATCGGTTTAGATCCATCCAATGTGCTAATTTAATCCAAATTTTAAAAAATGAAATAAATTAATTAATCACTTTTAATATGTGTTAAAATCGATACAAATAAAGCTAAAAATTCAAAAACCAACACAAATCAAATTTTGATTTAAGCAAATAGAAAACAAATAGTTGGATGATAGTTGGATGGTAATCGTATGGTTAATTGAATGTTGGTCGGTTCGGTCAATTCTAGACTATAATTCAAGAACCAACCGATCCAAATTGGATATTGAAATTTTCAACATTATCCAATTACAATTGAATATCCGATCATAGTCGATGGGTTCTAATAGATTATTACACACAAGTGTTTTAGAGATTGTTTGTTTACCTCTTAATAGTTTCATTAAGAGGCAACATCTGAATCGTTAAAAGATGAATCTTGTTTGCCAAAAAAAAAAAGAGTCTACCTCTTAATGGTTTTAAAACTCTCTGATTTTGTATCATGCATCTCCCTTAACCATTAAAAGTCCTAATTTCATTGTATACAATTACTAAACAATTATATTTCATTTTACGGTAACAATTTAATTTTATTTTGTACTGTATCATGAGAGCTTAATAATATGCGTCAGACCATTAACCAATCGCGAAACAGCCCCTTAGAGAATTGAGTTTTGAAAACGATGACGAAACAGGCATGGGCACCTAATAATGGCGATGAACATCGCATTGATCGCCTTGGAAAACGACCCGGAGGACCTTCAAAGTAATTCGATCATAATTGGAGGACTTACAAAATCATTCTCGATTCTTCACCGATCGAACCCCCCTTCTTGATCAATTTAATTAAAACTCACTTCCATGATCGATTTCCTACAAGAACTCCATCAAATTTCTGTAAAATCTAACCATCATTTTCTCCGATTCATCCAAAACCCATAATCGAGAACCCTTTCTGACATCAAATGGAGTTCAACACCATCAAAATCAATTCAACTTTCACTTCACCATTTGAGAGCACTCCAAAGGGAGATAATGAAAACTCTTCATTCAGAAAGCCACTCAGTTTATGGCCAGGTATGTATCATTCTCCTGTCACCGCTGCTCTATGGGAAACTAGGTCAAAAATCTTCGAAAGTCTTATTGATCCACCAAAAGATGCACCTCCACAAAGCGAATTGCTCACAAGAGTTCCGTCTCAAAGCAGGACTACGATTCTGTATAATTTCTCAACTGATTATATATTGAGAGAACAGTATAGGGATCCATGGAATGAGGTTCGAATTGGGAAATTGCTTGAAGATCTTGATGCCCTAGCTGGAACCATTTCAGTTAAGGTACTAATTTTGATTCTATGTTTGCAAATTGCTGCTCACTTTTTGTGTTTCCAGGGTTTTTGTGTGTGAATTTAAATTGAAATTGAATGTAGAAATATGGATTGGAAGCCAAAAAGATGCAATCATCTTCATATCATTCATTCTGTAGTTGAAACAAATATATAATACAATATTTAGTTCTGTATGGATAAGGCTGTCTGTGGTATAGATTGGGACGGATTTTGTTTGGGAGGGTTTTTCATAGATATAAGGAGCATGTTTTTTAATCCGGAGGCAGATTTGGAAAAAAACTTGGCTTTCACCATAAAGCTCCCCACCTACTAGCTTATTGAATAAGTCACTTTCTGTATCATTAAACCACTACCAAACAATCATATATAGCTGACTGAATAAGTTGCGAGTCCCATTAAGCTTTTTAAGCTGCTAACAGACGGTCCCTAAAACATGTATAATTGGGCCCCAAAAATTTTGGGGCTTGTTCCATATCTCACATTGGTACACCTTCACATGACCCTGCTAGTATATCCCACGTAGAGGTGAGGTTTCTGGCGGTGGGATGTACGCAGAGTCGCAGACTGACCGCTATCCTAAAGAGTAGTGTGGTTGTTTCTGTGAAGACCCCCGACTCTACACTAGCCGAAAATTAAAACTTTAGACGATCGCAGTCAAACTTTGCAGTTTTATTTGGATTAACATAGGTGGGACTATCATTCTATTGTAGCTAGAAATGTGTAGTTCTATCGTGTTGTGTTTAACATTTTGGAACCGCAAATTTCTAGCTTCAGCTTTATGGTTAAACCTTGGATTCTTTAAGTGGATTAATGATATATCTCAAAAGAGTTCTTGTTCTGTTTTCATTTTTCACTCTAACGAGTTGGCTAATGAACATTGAGCAACATAAGCTCTTATTAGTTGACGTATTTATGGATTTTGTTATTGTTCATATAAGTTTCTTGCTGCCCGGTTATCGGTAACTTGTATATTTTGCTTGCGGATCTAGCATTGCTCTGATGATGATAGCATAACAAGGCCCCTGTTGCTGGTTACTGCATCTGTTGACAAAATGGTTCTCAAGAGAACAATTAGCGTTGATGGTGATCTCAAAATGGCGGGTGCGGTTACATGGGTTGGGCGATCTTCCATTGAGGTTCAACTTGAAGTCACCCAGTTGTCAAACGGTACATACACATACACACACATATATAGGGGGACCTTCATTTGAGACCCATAAAATTGTGATAACCATGAGAACCGGTGCATCAGGTGCTATTTCATATGATCTTTTTCCATCTACTGCTTGGATTTAGTGTATTGATTAACATATATCGTTCTCCAATGTGTTTGTTTCAGTTTCATAATGTGAACATTTTTTATGTGTTTGTGAAACAAAAAATACAACTAAAAAGTTTCATATTGTGAACCGAATACATATTTAAAAGAACACTGTGAAACAAATGTATGTCAATCAATATGTTAAATTCTAGCCTTAGATGGAAAAACTCATGTGAAACAATACCTCACGATAATAGTTCTCATATTTATCACAATATATGGGGTTCTCAAATGATTAAGCCTCATATATATATATATATATATATATATACGGATAGGGTGGGTTCCGGTGAGAATGAAAGTTATGGTGAGAAATGCGGTGCACCGAGATGCACCTGATCAATTCATGTGATAAGCGCAATTCATGGGGGTGGGGGGCGAGATTAAAAGTGATCAAGGGTCTAGATCCCTTCTTACTCTTCTCACCTTAACTTCTATTCTCACACGATCCTTTGTCTATATATATATATATAAACCAGGGTCTAATAACCGGCTTCTTTCTTTTATAATTATGGGTGTCTGAGTCAGCTTGTGCCCACATCGACTAATCCCATGGGCCCTAAAGTTAACAGCCGGACAAACTTCTATGGCCCTGAGGGGACTCGAACCAGTGGATCACTACGAGCAAGCCTGAGTCTTACCAACTGAGCTACCCCTGGGGTAAACTAAGCACCCCCGAAAATGATAGACTTCAATGGAGAAATTAATTACTCCCTCTATTATTAAGGGTAAACTTGTCATATAGTTAACTAAAAATATAATAGTTACCCATTTCTAAAACTGTGTGCTTTTTTATTGTGGACATTTATTTTGGGACGGAGGGAGTGATTTAGAAACATCAAATCTATCTTACGTTTTTGACATAACAATATTGGTTTTGTAGATGGCGCTGACACTTCGGAATCAATAGCTCTAACGGCAAACTTTATATTTGTGGCCCGTGATTCCAAAACTGGAAAAGCAGCTCCCGTGAATCGACTCTCACCAGAAACGGAAACAGAGAAATTGCTCTATGAAGAGGCAGATGCAAGAAACCGAATGAAAAAATTAAAAAGAGGAGAAAGCAAAGGGGTCGAGAATGGAGAAAAAGATCGACTTGATTCGTTGTTGGCCGAAGGACGTATTTTCTGTGACATGCCCGCATTGGCAAACCGAGACAGCATTCTTCTTAGAGATACCCGTCTTGAAAATTCGTTGATCTGCCAGCCCCAACAACGGAACATCCACGGCCGCATTTTTGGCGGGTTCTTGATGCATCGAGCGTTTGAGTTGGCTTTCTCGACCGCTTACACTTTTGCCGGATTGATGCCACACTTTCTTGAAGTCGATCATGTCGATTTTCTAAGACCCGTGAGTGCTTCTTCACTAAACATTACTCCCTCTAAATGTCCACAATAAAAAAAGACATGTAGTTTTAGAAATGTGTAATTATTATATTTTTTAATTAATTAAATTACAATTTTACCTTTAACAGTAGAGAGAGTAATGAGTATCTGGATCTCATGATTAAAGGTATAATTGGAAAGTAGGCACTTATCGATCCTAATGATATCAGGAGCACTTTTTAAGTGTCGGAATATCCGAAGTGGGCTCTTTATTGTGTTCGGTTTAGTTTCTCACATTTCTTATTTCTGCTTTCTGTTTAAAATGACATTTGATTTTTGTTTTCTCAGGTGGATGTTGGTGATTTCCTACGTTTCAAGTCGTGTGTATTGTATACGGAATTTGACAATGCAGAGCAACCTCTAATCAACGTTGAAGTCGTTGCTCATGTTACAAGGCCCGAGCTAAGGTCTAGTGAGGTCTGTTTCCTTCTCAAACTTTATGAGCCTAAATCCCAAATTGTTTGTAGCATAAGTTTATGCTTTCATTTAAGAATCATTTTTTTCGTTGCTAACTAACAAGCGTTCTTGTAAAAACATCAAATGAACGCTATAATTAGCGAGAATAGCCGATTATGGAAATAAACCAAACCAAATCAAACACACCCGGTAAGCCCCACTTAGAAGTATGGTATTGGAGGAGGATGTACACAAACCTGACCTCTATCCCAAAAAGTACACAGACCTGACCTCTACGCCAAAGAGTAGAGCGACTATCTGGGAAGACCCTCGACTTGTGTAAAATTACTCTACTTCTCTCTAGTCTTGGTTATTCTTTACAAAAACCCTTTGCGACTTACCTAGAGGTCGCCAGTTCTAGTCTCCTCAAGTCCACCGGGGATTTTTCTGGCTGATATTTTTAGGGCTCTATGGGATTAGTTGAGGCTTGTGTAAGCTGGCCCAGACACCGACTGTTACCAACAAAAAAGAACAACTTTTTGATAAATCTTCTAACGTTTTTACGTCTTCATTAAAATTGTGTATTCTTGACATTTTTTACAAGAATGATCGTTTGTTTACAACAAAAAGGAGGCAAGTACTATGGTTTGTAAAAGTCGATGAATCGTTGTCGAAAGGTTCGACTATACTTTTTTTATGTGCCTAAAAGAGTGGTTGATCAATATCGTACTTGACTTTTTGTTGCAAAAAAACACAATAAGTGAGGCAACCGGGTAACAGAATTGCGGAAGGTTTTATGGTTTTAATTTGACATGGGTAATTTGGTAATTTACATATCCTGTCCCATCCGCCTGATTCTTGTTCCACTTAGTTTTGTCCCAGTCAAATGCCACGCCAAACGTCAGGCAACATGTTTTGTTCTATCTTATCCCGTCTTGTCCCCACATACCAAAAACGCACCTTAAAAGATTGCCACAACCAGATTACAATTGTTTGTGTGCAGGTTTCAAACACGTTCTACTTCACGTTTACGGTCCGTTCAGAGGCGAAGGCCAACGACAACAACGGGTTTAAGATACGTAAAGTGGTTCCAGCCACGGAAGAGGAAGCACGTAGGATCCTCGAGCGTATGGATGCCGATTCTCAGGTAAGTGCTTGAATTTGGAAAGCCATTGATATTAGAGAGTAGTGAGTTTCTGAGGTTAAAAGGTGTTTTTTTGATCAAGTTTGTTGGTTCTGATAGTTGCAGCAGAGGAAATAATGTAGCAACTAACATCAGATTAAAAGATTCTTGAATTCTAACTGTTATTTAACGATTCTTGAATTGGAAAACAATGATTGGGTGGTACATGATTGGTTTGAGCTTGGCTCCAGAGGTCAAAAGTACCAGGAGGTCCCAGGTTCAAATCCAATGAGGAATAAAAATCCCTTTGTGGCCACGGAGGTTCAAATGCGGTGACTCCGGGCTATCTGCAAAGCAGGTGGTCGCCCTGGGATTAGTCGGCTCACATAGTGGGTCGGATATCCAGGTTAATAAAAAAACAATGATTGTTTCTTTTCTAAAGTATATAATATTTATATATGGTAGGATAGGGTATTCGGGAATTGTTGGTACGGACCAATTTTGCAATTTTTTCGGACATGTTGCGAATTGGTTCTACCAAAAGTGGTTAGTCCGAGGGGTGCTCAAAAAACCGACCAACTTGGTCGACTCGATCTGAAAAAGCCCAAAAAAGCTCGACCCGAGGTAACCTGACATGTAGTTGATTCAAAGTCAGGTCAAACTAGGCATGGCAACGGGGCGAGTTTTGTAATCCCCAGCCCCGGTTTGTAGTAACGTCCCCTTGGCCCCGACGGGTACGGGGATTATCATCCCGTCCCTGGTTTGAGTCTACCGGGGATCCCCGGCCTTGGGACCCGTTTTAGCGGGGAATCCCCGTCCCCATTTGGGTCGGGTGAACCGGGTTCCCCACCGGGTCGGGGAAAATCACCATCCCTATATGTTGTGTCGGAATTGGGTTAGTATAATTTGAACCTAACACAACCTGATGAACCCGTATACTATGGATTTACTATGATTGTTAAGTTTTTGATTAATATATATACTAATTATTAGACCAACCTGTAATTAGCTATATTCAGAATCACATTACAATTTTTAACTGTAATTTTACTTTTTTATTTGCATAAACTTTTAAAAAAATTGAGTTTGTCCACCTTTTATGTATGTTCTCGTTTTTATTTTACTTCGTTTCAGCATAAACATTTAGCTAGATTGTAAAAAAAGATGTATTGGAGTTTCAACCCGACCAACCCAACCCGCACGCTACAAAAATGAAAGAGTATCAAAAACAAAAATGAAGAGTATCAGCAAGGGAAAATTTCCTCACAAATCCGTCCCTAAAAGGGTCTCCCGTTGCTGATCTGTCGCTGATAGTCCGTCGGTCAAATGCTCGTAGGTAATGCTATCAGCGAGAGATACTTTCAGCGGCGGATCAACAACGGATACTTTTAGCGACGGATCAACGAGGGAAGCGACAGATCAGCGAGAGAACTTTAAGTTTGAGTTGGGTTGAGATTTTTCAAACCGTAAACATTTCGTTGGGATAAGCAAATGCATTTAACCCAGCCAACTCAACCTATGTGCAACCCTAATCTATCTATGATAGAAATTATGATTTTTTTAGTATTTTATTTATTTGTGGCTTTTAAATAATTTATATGAATTTTAGAAGATTATGTTTTTTCCCAACAGAATCTCTAAAAATCTTTAAAATATTTATTTTAAAAAATTTGTTGAAGATGTTCTAGAAGATAATAAAGGACCAAAAGAGAATAATCAATACATTAATATATAAAAAAAAGGGACCGGTTAGGATATAGGTCCAACCAATTACGCAAAATCTCTATTCTTTTGCCGGAAGACCGGTGTGGATTGAGACCGGTTATGAAAAGGACCGACTTAAACAGGCTAGAGATCAAGACTAGTACAAAGACCAATCGATGAACCAGTTTGTCCACCTATACTTTGAGCTATGAAGACGGTTTGGTATTCAACCTTCGTGCGGTATACATATTTTCTTCTGCTAACAAAGAAAAACGACAGTTTGACTTCTCAAATCATCGGTTTTAAACAAAAACGACAAGAAAGGTGGTAATTTTAGTATTTTAATTGGTTAAAAAAAATCATTTGTTTCACGGTATTTTTAGAATTTTATTAGAGTAAAGTACAGATTCGGTCCATGTGGTTTTGTTAGAAGTAACATTTTTTCGTTCCTACAATTTTAAAATTAGAAGATTGTCATTGTAGTTTGCAAACATTTTCTAGTAACGGCCATTAAAAAGTTTCATTAAATGAAGGGCATTTTTGTCCTTTTATCTATCTTTTTGTCTTTTACCCGGTCAAAAACGATTTTATTATTTTTGTAATGTGGTTTTCGATTGAATATAACCCAAAAAGAAAATCGATAAAAGAATGAAAAACTATTCATTTAACGGAATTTTTCCAACAGTCGTCACATAGGGATCAAACACGAACGTTTTTACAAATCATGATGAGAATCTTGTAATTTCGAAACTGTAAGCACGAAAAATATTGCTTCTTATAAACCAGGATAACAACCTTATAATTTCGAAACCATAAAAATAAAAAAACATAAATATTTTATATATAAAAAACATAAAAATTAAATATAATGAACAAGTCAACAAAAATATATTTGTGTATAAAGAAAAGAAGTATACACACATTCATACATACATGCATAAATACATACATGCATAAATACATATATATATATATATACATACATGCATAAATACATATATATATATATATATATACATACATACATATATATATATATATATATACATATATATATATATATATATTTATATATATAATATTAGGCAATGATGATATGTAAGGCACATGCATGGAGGATAAAATGTTCCCCAAACCAATTATTCTATATCTTTTTTATGTGGTCGGTTTTTGCCTTATATTTCCCTTTTCTTCAAAACCTCCTACATGTGCATGTGTTCTCCATTTTTTAAGTATACATACATACATACATTATATATATATATATATATATATATATATAACAGCTTTTAGTAGATCTACTCCATTTTACTATAATTAGTAAAAAAAGGCATCAATCATCATCATCATGTCAATTAATTTTTTATATGGTTTTATTAAATGGATATCATGTAAAATCTAATATTAAAATGACTGAATACTTATTTATTAGATGTGTTTTAAAACTATAAATTTGAATATAAATCAAACTGATAATTTCTTGTACAGTTAATCTGAGATGTTACATATCAATAAAATCTTATAATATAAAAATAACATACTATCATAGGATACCCCAATTTAATGTATTTTTAAACAGATTTTCAAAAACAGAGAAAAAAAAGAGTTTTTAATTAATTTATTGTTTCTAAAATGTGAAAACAATAGAAAAAATAGGATGTAATATTTATATACGACAAATATAACAAATAAACTTATATACTCTTCTCATTTTTGATGAGATTTGAACTCTTATACTGTTAAGCCAAAAACCCTTTGGTAATATTCTTGTATTGTTATTAATGAGGTTAAATATATTATTACTTTATTAACATATATTAATATCAATATTTTAATAATATATTAATATTAAATAAAATATATTTAAAATTTCTTAAAGATATATTAATATTTTAATAGTATAATTAATATTAAAATTAAGGAATTACTAGAGTTAAATATAATTTTATTTTTTACTTTTCCCTTTTTAAAAAGAATATATAAAAGAAATGAGATGCTCTTAACAAGTGAACTTTCCATGCAAAAAGCAGCCATCAACCACAGTTTTACCATCCTTTTCAACCCAACCACCATACCACTTTTTGGTGGTTGTAACCAAAACAGTGCCACTTCCTCCTACCTCATCATCATTACCAACACTTCCCATTTATTATTTGGTACATGGTGATTAAATGATCAGAATGATTAATAGACTTTTATAATATGGTGTAAAATGAAATCTGATTGTTTGGTATGTTCAAAATGAAATTAAGACGCTTAATGGTTTAGGAAGACCCAAGATACAAAATCATTCAGAGAGTTTTAGGACCATTAAGAGGCAAAAAGAAATTTGTCAAACAAAATTCAGCTCTTAACGATTCAGATGTTGTCTCTTAATAGAACTATTAAGAGGTAAACAAACAACTTCTTACTTTTTACATTTTTAATATATAGTTTAACATGATTCTGATATAAACAGGCATGTATCATGTATATAGCTTAACACCCATAAATAACTCAGATATTTTTTATCCCTTACTTCATTTGCATACCCGTATTATCCTATATACGGGATATGAATAGAATTCACTTTTATGATAATTCTTAATTTATTAAGCTGATAATAATATGACCAAAAAAAATGCAAAAGGAGGTATTAATTGGTCACTGCATTATGCCCTAAGCTAATCGGCGGCGGACCTACGGAGGCCCTGATAGGGTCAAGTGCACCCGTTCAATCGATCCACAATTTGAAAGATGCACACGCTAAATTTTGAAGGGTACTTCAGTATATTAGGAAATACAAGGGACATCAACCAAAAACCTGGAGAGAGAGAGAGAGAGAGAGAGAAATCTCTAAAAATTAACCAAAAAACTTAAAAAAAAGCCCTTCGTGAAATTCGACTAAAAACAAATGACTTTACAGGCCCTTGATCCACATTAAAAGCAAAAATCACGTGTCAACCGCTAAAGCAGTAGAAAAACATTATAATTCAACCACAAGAGTGTTGTCTGATTGATTTGAGCTTGAGCTCCAAAGGTCAAAAGTACCTGGAGGTTTCAGGTTTAAATCCAAGGAGGAATAAAAATCCCCTTGTGGCCACGGAGGTTCAAAAGCGGTGACTCCGGGCTATCCGCAAAGTAGGTGGTCGTCCTGAGATTAGTCGACCCGCATAACGAGTTTGGATATCGGAACTAGAAAAAAATGAACAAATATACACAAATTAAAGGAAAAGAAAGGTATAAACACAGATGATATGAAGTGATTCAGATTCAGATTCAGAGAAATGGCATATATATCTTACAGAGGAATTGCAGGTACAAAGAATCTAATGCCATCCAAACTTGGCATCGGAACAACTTTAAGAAGCTTTTTTTACAGAAATGTGCTTATTCTTCCAAAATCTCCTCTGTATATTTTATATATATATATATATAGAGTTATATATCTATAGGCCAAAAGTAATGTTCAAAATCTTCTACCTTATACGTATACGAATACAACACCACGAAAACGACAAGAATGCCTGTACCTACGACGATATTCGAAACGAGGAGGTACTTTCGTCGTCTGAAGAACTATATTGTTGTCTTCCCGGGAATCCGCTAAAAACCGGCGGCAGGGTCGGGTTTATCGGAACTGGAAACTTATGGGCCGAACTGATCACGATTCGCTCGTTTATCGAACCGACTTCTTTGCAGACACGATCAAGGACCGTCAAGAAATCTCTTACGACCATAAAGATTCGAAACGGGTGAGCTTCTTCTTTTGCTGAGTTTCCGTGGAAGTATTCGGTGATTTCTTTGACTAAAGAAAGCGCCACGCTTTCTTGCGCTTGAATTCGGATGATCTCCTCCTCCGCCGTCGTTATGAACTCGTTCATCGAATCGGAAAATCTCGTTTGGTTTCCGCCTTCGGATCGTGTTGTTTCGATTAATCTAACGACTTCGGTGATATTGGCGATACCCTTGGAGAGTTTGACGACATCACTATCAAGGACCTCGGAATCCATGGCTGCGGATTTCTTGACGTTCGAGAGTTCGGAACTGATACCTGCGACGACTTGAAGACCGAGCTTCCGACATTTGGTGTCATCGGTGGTTGCGGATTTTGGAGTTTCGGGGTTGGTGTCGGTGGTGGAAAGGCGGGCCCCTTCGCTTTTGATGATTTCTTGAACGACGAAATGCAAGAGAGTTGTTTTCCCATCGGTGCCTTTCACGTCAATGAGTTTGAGGAGTGTGTCGAGCTTGAATGCGTGAGCATCGCCACGGTTTGTTCCGACGTTCATGCGGTTCCCGGTCTTGAGAACTGCTTCTAGAAGTTTCAGGAACATTCTGCTGTTTCGAAGTTCTTCACATGCTACCTGTAAATCGACGAGTTTTTATAACAAGAAATTGAATAAAATCAAGATCGAGCATGTTAGGCATACGCCAACACATATAGAACAATCTTACTCTTTATTAGATATTCGATATCGTGAACCATTGGCTATGTTTTATCATTTGGCTTATCGACTAGTTTTTACCGACATAACTTGTTTATCGGCTAATAACCAACTTAAACAGCTAGCTTATCAGCTAACAACTACCTTATTAGCCAACAACTGATTTTTCAGTTGACAACTAGCTTATCAGCCAACAACTAGCTTATTATCGGCCAACAACTAGCTTATTATCAGCCAACAGTCAACTTATTAGCCAACAACTATCTTTTTAGCTAATAAGAGGTAATGTTCATACCGACATAGTGGCCGTTTCAAATAAATATTTTGAGAATCTGGAACCAACTATCCATACATTATTCATGATGAATGTCGTAATAGATATTCATCATGAAAATGCATGATGTTCACAATGAATATTCTTCATGAATATTAGGCCATTCATCATGAATAATACATGAAATAGTTGGTTTCCAGGTTCTCAAAATATTCATGGTTCTCATTCAAAACTTTCTCGCACAACATATATATATATATATATATATATATATATACATGGAACTTTTGGTTCTAAAACAATTTTCTCCATTCATGTGGTCAAGAATTTTTCATCCTCAATCCACAAAGAGAGACAAATGGTTCATTCAACCCAAGAATCCCACAAACAACCGATCGAAGTAAAAGTATAGCAATGGAACATACCTCTAGAGTCTGAAACGACCGTTTAAGGTACTCAATCTCCGAATCAAAATTGGATATGTAAAGCATTGCATCAACCCTTTTAAATGCAAACGGTACATCAAGAACCGCCTTCAAAAACTTCTCCGCTGGCCCAAGCTTGATAGGTGAATCATCTTTAAACTCTTTAAGTTTTCGTTCTTCTTCCTTCGTTGGAGCCATCTTCAATAAACTCTCAAGAAGCTCGGTACCAAGAGTATCTGCATTGCCTGTAAAGTTATCCATCCTAAAACCGTTAGATTAATAAACACCTCACAGAAACAACCACTCTAGACTTTGGGCAAGAGGACAGATTTGCGTACATCCCACCCCTCCCAGATCCACCCGTACCCGTTTGGGATGGAGGACAGATTTGCGTAGAGGGAGGTTCAGGGGAAAACCCTCCAAAAAATGAAAAACGGAGGAACACCCTGGTAACTATTCATCTTAGACGATGTGCAAATGTGCATATAAGTAATTGAAGTTGTTCCTTGGTTTCTATGCACATGTGCATACCGGACAAATTGCTTACAAATTATTTGTATCCACATGTGCACAGCGTTTCTAAATGAATGATTACCGGCGTGTTCCTCAGTTTTTCATTTTTTGTAATTTTCCCCAGAACCTGACCCTGTATACATACCATTGCTCCCATATCCTACCCATTTGGAATGAAAGACAGGTTTGCATACATCCCACCCCTCGTAGACCCTGCTTTCAAGTGGGATATACCGAGTTTACCCTGCTTTCAGGTGGGATATACCGAGTTTATTTGGTTTTGGTTAATAACATCACCCGTAATGAAGAAACTAAAACGATATTGAATCAAAGTAATTACCTTCTAAAAGTGCATCACAAACTTCCTCAATTGTCACATTGAGTGCCCTAAGTAAAATTGCAATGTTCTGAGATTTCTTGGGGTCAAGAACTCGGTTTTCAAGGCTAGTGGGTGACGGAAGAATCGGGCGTCTTGTTGCAGAAGTTTCGTTCGAGTTAGCCGAGTTTGGGGTTTTTACAGTAAATAATGTCTCAATCATCTCCTCATTTAACCTGTAATTAAGAACCCTAGATCATTAGATACAGAAAATTTTGAAACAAAAGAAACAAATTTGAAGAACAAATCGATATCTTACTTAAAAGAGCTGGATTTGAGTTGATCCCACACCATTTCACGATCGGAACTTGCTCTTACTTTATCCCAGTGAAGTGGTTTTAATTTTGGTTTTGGTGTTTCATGATTTTCTTGATTTTCCGGCAACAATTCCATGGGAGAAATCGGTGGTTGATCGTTGATTAGCGATGTGGGTCTTGCCGGCTTGATTAAAACTGGTGGTTTTAGCAACTGTTGCGACGGAATTGGTAATGGAGTTCTGGGACTTCGACTTTCCCAGTGCTTCGGTGGCGGCGGCGGTGGTGGTGGCGGAATTCTGGCCGGTGGAGGAGGTGAGTTTTGATCACTCGATGAATTTGATGATCTGGGTGATGACTCTAAGCTGTCTTTGCTTAATCTGATGTTCAGAGATGGGATTAACAAAGGCTGTGGCGGAGGTGGAGGTGGTGGTGGTGGTGGTGGTGGTGGCGGCGGCGGAGGAGCTAAGCTAGACGGTGGAGGAGTAGTTTGAATTGCAACAAGGTCCGGCGACTTCGGCCGTGATCTTATCGGACTCAAGCTCACAGGCGGAGAAATACTTAAGGAAACGGACCTCGCCGGAGAACCCGAACTTGATGATGAGCAAGAAGAAGAAGAACCCGACCCGATTATCCTCCGTGATTCATAATTATCCACCGGCACGGCAGCGAACGCCGATCTAGAACCGGATCCGGTGCCGATCGACCCTCTCGGAGAGTAAAATTCCTCGAATTCTTCATCTCGAGAAGATTCAACCTCCACATTTTCAAAACCAGTATTCCTAAGAATACTTTGACTCCGTCCTCCGCCACCACCGACACTACCAAGCGGCGGCAATGGGCGGAGCTCCGGCGAATCCATCTTTCGCAAATTCAAATCGCCGCCGCCGCGATTTTCACGGACGATTGTATTTGTCGCATCAATTCCGCCATGAGAGTTCACAAGTGTACCAAGATAAAGAAATTCAGCGCTACTTTGCGACGGCCGACTGAGCTTCGGAATCCGATTAAAATTATTATCACCACCACCGCCACCGCCACCATTATTAACATTACAACTAACAACTACTCTGCTACTACTATCGGATCTATACGTTTTTTCATCGCTCAAAGATCTAGAATCCTGATCAAATCGTCTCCGCTTCTGAACTCGCAAGTAAACCACCGCCGATATAACAATGGCGGCAGCAATGACGAGAGTAACCGCCGTCGCAATGAGTTTAGAAGAAACCGGTTTCGATTTCGGAGAAATCGGAAGGTTGAGAGAAGATATATTAGCGGGAAAAGAGGCGGAGGGAGTCGATGTCGACGGCAGAGGAGGTGGCGGAGATGGAAACGCTTGAAAAAACGGCTGGTCATTAGGTGGGGTTGAAGCATCGGTGGGGTTATTAGGAGTAAAAGGGACATCAGATGATGACGCCGGCGGCACCCCAGGTGAGTCTTGTGGGAAGAAAGGTTGGTGCAGCGTCCGCCGGTTGTTGACGGTGGCGCCGGCGCCGGAATCTATACAAATTGAGATAAGATAGAAAAGGAAAACGTAGAAAAAGATGGGCATTTTCATGGGTAGCCTGAATCGAGTAAATGCAAGTGTGATTGTGAGTTGTGGGCTTGTTATTTCTTGAATTTCTTCAGATTGGATTGAAGATTGGTGGGGAGAAGAGAGAGAGAATCTCCATGAATGTGTGCTAAATCAGTGGGTGTGTGTGAATGATTTTGCAGTAATTTGTTGAGGGTGAAAGTAGCAGGAAGATGGTGTGTTTACAGCTAAGCTTTAGGTTATTTGGCTATGGCAGACAGCCATGGTACCAAGCTTTTGAGTTGAATTTTTGTTTTTTGAGGCCAACATTAATAAATGATGACTTCAACAATAATGTACAACTTTCCTATACACAAATTTACTTGGATTTATCGAAGTTTTAAATTACCTGAGTCGTGATATGTTGGTGGGACCCTTTTTATAAGTGTTAAAAGTCACGACGACGAGATCATATGATGTTTTTTAACGTGTGATTTACGACGGTAAATATTTATATCATATATAATATTATGTAGATCAAGGATTATTTGTACAAACTTTACAAACCTAATCACAACCGTTTATATGGTCTGATGAATATCTGGTTCAATAAGTATCCCTGTTGTTTTCTAATATAAAACGTTAGTTATAATAAATGAACTCTAACGATCTTCCATAAACATTCAGATCATAATAAATGAACCTTCATCTATTTCATAAATATCTCAGTTAATTTTGGTTTGTATGGTTTGTACTAATGGTTAAGTTTGTAAATAAAACCAACTCATATTATGTCTATATATAGACATATGTTTTATCCAATAAATCAATGATATAAAAAGATAAGAAAAGTCAGATGTTGTATTACAAGAATCGCACATTAGGCAATTGCGTGCAACAGTCTTAACGTGGCGTCAGACACAAGTCTTGAGTCACGGCACGCCACGACGGCAGTTGTAGTAGACCTTTTTGAACAATGTCTTCATCCGACCTGCTCCTCTCTTGCTATTAGATGGTTCGTTCCAGATGTAATAAGAGGAATATACTTTCGAACTCTTTTCAAAACACACTTGAGGGTTTTTTTGCAAAACCAGTTTCGAGAGAAGATCATTGAGCTGGATAGTCGGTAGATATGACAACTTTTAACCGTTTTAATCAGTTATAGTTAAAATAATCAAATTTAAATAACTAGAGTTCAAAAACGGAGACATGAAGCAAAGATTCTTGTCGGTGAGGTAAGAATTGCGGATTTCTAACATACGTCAAGAACCGTCACGTGGAAGACTACGAAAGCGAAAACTGTTGACATAAAGCAAGACACGTGATGACGAAAACAACGATGTCATGATTGATAAGTCATGCACAATCATGTCAAAATTGATTACCTCGAAAGAATACTTGGGGTTCTTAATCAACACAAATTGGGTAAGCGTTGACCAAGTAAAAGTGCGATCTGAATCAACATTAATCACTCTTCGGTAAGAGGTGTTCGTTAAACAACATCATCTTTGGTTGGACAGGAGCCTCTTACCCAGTAAGAGGCACGAAGCATATGTATAACACCTTGGTTATGAGTAGGATAAAGAACATATCTCGAGTCTCAACTCATAGTCGAATTAAGCATCTCCAATCATTTCGTCAATAATGCAGCAAACCGCAATTTATGTCGATCATATCATAATGAGTATATCGATGATGATTAATGCGTCACCAGGAAGAATGTGACAATCTACTACAACACGTCAAAAGGGGTCAGTGTCGGAAGAATTTGAAGATTGTTACAGGATCGTTAAAACCTTTTTCAAAATACTGTTCATACGGAATGTTAGCAATAAGAACATTGTTTTTAGGTTTTGTTAGGATGATTAACCGTTCTAGCCTTGATGGCACGACTCGTTAGCCTTCAGTAAGTAACATTTCTATATGCAGTTGTACCTTTTTTTTATTCTATAAATTACTAAAATACATTGGTACCCTTTGTTCCAGACAATTATTGAAAACTTTTGTTATTAACATTCTGATCTCAAATGAAATTTTTATTTGGAAACTGTAAATATTTTGATAGAAAACCAACTATTAATTAATTATTAATGATGAGTACACCTAAATATTCATAAATATCATGCATTTTTATTATTTATGATTTTATCATTAATAATTAATAAATAATTGATTTTTACGGTTGACAAAATATTTGCGGTTATCAATGAACTTAAACCTAGTTTCTAGAAAATTGTTTGAGACCTACTTAGGGGCTGTTTGGCAGTCGTTTAATGGTTCGGTATATGATGATTAAGTGGTCAGAATGATTTAGAGGTTATTTGATATAGTGCAAAATGAAATATGGTTGTTTGGTAATTGTTCAGAATGAAATTAGAACGCTGAATGGTTCAGGGAAACCCACGATGCAAAATCATTCAAACTGTTTTAGAACCATTAAGAAACATATATTTTTTTTTACCAAACAATATTCACCTCTTAGTGATTAGAGGATCGTCTTGTAATGCAATTATTAAGAGGTAAACAAACAACCACTTAACTCATTTAAAAAAAATAATTTACTTATTTTTATATTATAATTTAAATTAATGGAATGTTTATAATAATTACACCCCGACACATCTCTTGGGTCTATTTCTTAAATAGTTTATCGTTTATAATCTAAAATAATAATTTGAAATTAAATAAGATCAGCAAAAAAAATACCAACTTGGCTTAAATTTAAAATCCAAAAATTATATTCACAAAGCACACATACACATACACATACACACACACACATATATATATATATATATATATATATATATAGGTTGGTTATTATACAACCCTTGACATTTGTGCAACCAATACAACCCGATCTCAACCGTCCATTTCATTTGATGAATATGTGATTTCATAGAAGTTTTGATTGTTTCATAATATAAAGTATTAATCATAATTAATGAACTATATTCATATTCCATAAATATTCAAATCATAATAAATGAACTCCCATCATTTCTATAAATATCTCAATTAATTGGGTTGCAAGGGTTGTACAAATACACAAGGTTGTAAAAGAAATATACCATATATATATATATATATATATATATATATTATATTCAAGTCTATATAGTTCTTCCATATCGATCATCTTGTTAGTTTCTTTTGCAGGTGTTCATCAATGGTGGGTTCGATTGACAATTCTAGTGTCAAATGCGGTCGGTGAAACAAGTCAAAAACAACCATGAAAAAAGTCTTGTGCCATAAATCAATGTTCATTGACGAAACTGATCATGATACAGGTGATGAAACAAAGTCATGGATCAATATTCAGTGACGTCAATGATGAAGCAGTTTCATCAGACTCATGAGCCAAATTCAGTTTCATCTATTATGACTCAAACACACAAACTACACGTGATTGCAGATTCCAATTTCACGAGCGATTCCATAAACCACACCGAAGGAACTGATTTCATGATACAATGGAAAACCCATAAATAAAGTGAATATTAAATTTGGGATAATTACCATGTGCATTAAATTTTAGACAATTTGGAGAACTTTTTATTTTATTTTTATTTTTATTAACATAAATAACTCAATTAGATCTTATTTTTATACGATTTTGTGCTTCTAGGCTGTTTTAATTAATTAAATATATTAATTTTTATTTTTTTATTAACATATATAATTCAATTAAATTTTAATCTTACATTAATGAAAGCTACGGTTGAAAAATAGGTTGCATAATTTATACTAATAAAGTGGTTTGCAAATTAAGAAAAAGAATTTAAATCACTTGAGAATTTCACAAATAAATTTTAAGTAGATATTGATACGTAAATTACTGGAAAAAAAATATAGAAATAATTTATATATGAATCTATATAAATAATTTGTAAAAAATCCGTTTACCAAACGCTTATCCGGGTAAGTGTTTACCAAGTCAAATTACATTACTGGATGAATATGACAAGTACTAAGAATCTTACTAGGCAAAAAACGAAATAAGAATCGAGAGTCTTATCCAATAAGTGAGGACAATTACATTTTTTATTACAATTATTTTTTATTACATATAATAGATGTACGGATTAGTAAATAATAGGAAGAATAGAGTGGGAACGTGAGAATACGAGTTTCTAGAGATTGAGGGTGTGAAGCACCGACACATTTGGGAAAAAAGGAATATTTTGAGAAAATTAAAACATGGAGTAAATAAATTATTTTTTAAATTTTAAATTTTAAATTAAAAAGCAACATCACCCACGACCGCATTATGACCATAATTATAAGTTCATAATTAATTTATACATAAATAGACAACACCACCATTGGTATTTTATGTTTTTATTTATTAAATTAATAAAAATATTCTAATTAGTTTTAATTAAATATTTATCAAGTTATGTTTAACCACAACGGTAGTGTCCGATTGGTTTGAGTTTGGTCTCCAAAGGTCAAAAATGTCTGGAGGTCTCAGGTTCGAATTCAAGGAGGAAGTAAAATCATCTTGTGGCCACGGAGGTTTAAATGCACGGATGGTTGCCTTGGGATTAGTCGGCTCGCTTAGTGGGTTGGATATCTAGGTTATGGGTTGTTTGTTTACCTCTTAATAGTTTCATTAAGAGACAACCTCTGAATCGTTAAGAGGTAAATCTTGTTTGGCAAAAAAACAATCCATCTTTTAATGATTTTAAAACCCTTTGAATGATTTTGTAGCATGGGTCTTCCTTAATCATTCAGCGCTTTAATTTCATTGTAAACAATTATCAAACAATTATATTTCATTTTGCACTATATCATTAGAGTCTCTTAATCATTTTGACCACTTAATCATTCTACACTAAACCACTTAGCAACTGTCAAACAGTCTCTTAATCAAAAAAGTTATGTCTAACTTATAATCACCTTCAAGAGTTTTTTTTTTCTTCTATATTTTACTTAAAATAGAAAATAAAATTTAAAATATAAAATAAAAATATATGTTTAGAGGGTTTCATTTGAGATAATCCATAAAATTGTGATATTTTTTAGAAATAATGCAT